ATGAGCAGGGGCGGAAGCTAGGGATTCTTTGCCCAGAGTCACAACTTTGCATATCATTTCAGATGATTTACAGATCTCCCTCCTCTCCTCCAAAACAAAACAAAATCCTGATACCTCAATTTAGCCCTTCTCTTTCACTGACTGAAACTGTGACAAGTTCAGAGCCCCATGGCTGAGCCCAGTGCTAGAACATTGGTGGTTACTCAATGATAGGGCTTAATTTAGAAGTGAGGATAATGTTGTTCAAGGACAAGGAGTTGTTACTCTTTCCATCTTTGTTGGGCTTTGGATAACTGGAGATTTCATAGCATAAAAAACAGGGCCAGTTTCTCTTACCCAAACCTTTGCCCTTGGAAGAGTGAAATTGATCAAGAAAGAGGTGTAGTGACCAGAATAACAGAATGGTGTTCCTGGTGTAATGTGGAGTGTGGAGGAGAAACAGGTATAGGACACCACTGTAAATCGGCAGGATAGTGTACATGATAAGGGCTGTGCAAGGTGCAGAATGAGCTTCCTCTGGTTGCTGTGAGAAATGAGCACAAACTTGGTGGCTTACATTGAGTGAGCCAGTAACAGCAACAATCCCCTGACCCCCGCCAGTGCACAAATTCAAGGGAGTGGATTTGACTTTTATTGCTACTACGACAAATTACCACAAATTAGCTGGCTATCCTGTGGACCAGAAATCCTGCATGCATCTCACTGGGCTAAGATCAAGGTCCTGGCATCCCTGCCAGAGGCTTGGGGGAGACTCTGTTCCCTCCTTAGCAGCTGCTTGCTTTCCTTGGTTAGTAGCTTTCTTCCATCTTCATCAGCCACAAGGACCACAGGTCTTGTCCTGCAGCTGTCACTCCATTCTCTCTGCCTCTCTTAAGGAGGCTCATAACTAGGGGGCCACCTGGATAACCCAGAATAATGGCTATAGTATACAGTAGACTCAACTGATTAGCACATTTCTTTCCATCTGAATCCTAAATTCTCTGCTTTGTGTCATAGCATTCACAGGGTGCACTAAATATCTTTGGGTGGGTCATTACCTCTACCTACTTCTGCCTCTGCCCCTAAGTGTTTCCTACAGTTTCCCAAAAGAGCCCAGTAGGGCCAAGGTGAGTCACTATTCCCAGCAGTAAACCAGTTATCTTAGTTATTTTTCTTGTTGCTGGGACAGGATACCTGATGATACAAATTAAAGGAGAGGTTTATTTTGGCTTACAGTTTGCAGAGGTTTTAGTCCATAGGTGGCTGGCTCCAAGGCAGGACAGCATGGCAGAAGAGAAACAGTCCATGGCATGGCAGGCAGAAAGCAGCGTGACTTCCTTCTCTTTTTATTCCATCCAAGCTATAAGCCTATTGGTTGGTGCCACCTGCACCCAGGGTGGGTCTTTCCTCTTCAGTAAGCCCATCATCCACACGCAGAACTATGCTAACCCTACCAGTGGACCAACCCAGTATTACACACTCATGACTCAGGATCCAGTCACTCCTAAAAACCCCACCTGTAGGGCTTTGGGGGAACATCTAGATATCAGCCATAACACTGTTCATGCTCATGAACATTTTTTTCTGACTTTTTCTTTCTCCCTCCTTTTATGGTCTTATTTTGCTCATTTTATGACTTACATTTCCTGGGATCCACTTCCCAAATTTACCTCCCTTCCCCTACTCCTTGTTGATCGGCCTCAGAGAAACCCAAACTACCCCGATATCCTTGGGCAAGTTGTTAATCACTCTCTCTCCTAGTTTCCTTTCCTAGGAAAGGACAATGGAATTCCCCCAGGAGACTGTGCAAAGTTGTGACAGCAAGCTTGTTAAGCACTTTTACATGGGGGTGGAGTCAGTTCTCAGAGATGGACTGTTGTTGGAGGGGTAGAATCTGGTAGAGACAGATGGCAGTTCCCTTCTGAGACATTGACTGATGGAGAGAGGAGGGGAGGGGTCCAAGTAGGAGGTAGATGGTTCCCTTCAAGGGTACCTATTTTCTCTAGACTGCGTCTGCTCAGGGGTGGGGATATGGCTCTGTGGTAAAGTGTCTGTCTGGCATGCATGAGGCCCACAATTGCATCTCCAGCACTGTGCATACACACAAAATGCATTTGCTCTGCAACAGGTCACACTTGAAATAATAAAGATTAGGAATAGCAGTCTTGGGACTTGTTTTTACTCCAGTGCTGGGGATTGAACAAGTGCTCTATCATGGAGCTGCTGCCAGCCAAATTTCCTTGTTTTTTGGGGTGGGGCGTGTCCAGGGATTGAACTCTAGTCCTTGCGCTTGCGAGGCAGGCAGTGGAACCACAGAGCTAACTCCCCGGTCCCAAATTTCCTTTCTTATATAAGGACACCAGCCCCTGGGTTTAGGGCCCACCCTAATTCACCCTGATTTCATTTCATTTTAACTTGATTACATCTGCAAATACTCTTTCAAGATAAAGCCACATTCCTAGGTTGGGGGGGTGAGACTTCAACATTATCTTTTGAGGGACACAAGTCAACCCCTTACCGTGCTACATGTAACTAACAGGGTGCTAAATAGGTATTTTTAATAAGCCTCAGCCAGTGAGTACAACCCAAGGGAACCAACTCAGGCTTGAGGTGGAGCCAGAAGAACCTGAGAACCCAAGGAAAGTGGCTCCCCAGATGGGGCTCTGGGATCCCTGGGGCAGTGGCAGAAAGACCATCTGGGGGAAAGAGAGGGTCAGGCAGTATGAGGTCTGCGGGATCACCGGGCCCCAGACAGGTCCAGAGGTCCTGGCTCAGCCAAGAGACTGAAGGTCGGGCTCTTGTTTCAGGGCTCAGTGTAGTGCTTCCCAGGATGTATGAGGCCCTTGGACACACAAGATACAGACAGGCAGACAAGATTCAGTGCTGGGGAAGCGCTGTGGCCAAGGTGGCTGCAGGAAGGCAGGACTGGTTCTGGAAGCCCTTGCTTCCCCCAGGGGCTCAGCCTGTGGCTCTCCATTTCGGGCTTCAGCAGAGCTCTGTCCAAGGTCTCCCTCAGTTTTTCCGGAGCTCTTCCTACTCCATTTACATGCTGATGGCACCAGAATTTGCATCTCAAACCCGGAGCCAGTTTCCCAAACACATGGAAAGGCCAGAAGGATAGGAATTTAACTCACACCCCAAACTAGTTGGCCTCCCAGCACTTCCTACCTCCGGTGGAGATAATCTGACGCTCCTTCTTCCTTTCACATTAAATCCCACCCTTCCTCGAGGTGACATTACTCCCGCCTCCAGCTCAAGTGGCGGCTTCCCTGGTGCAACAACACCCCGAAGGGAGGCCCCATCTTCCCTCCAACGCTGTTACCGAGTTATGTGGCACCTCCGCTGCGTCACCGTCCCTGTCCCCCAAAACCTTTTGTTAATGTTTTTTTGTTTTTCCTTAGAAAGCTCACACTGCCCAAAATAGTTCGACTTAAAACGGGAGGAGGGTGAAGGCTTCGCTGTTCCTTTCTCCTGGCCCCTGAGCCCGGACCGGCGCCTGGTGACGGTGGGCGCCTTGGGTGGCCCCGCAGACCCACTGT